GTGACTGGCACACTCCCCACTCTGGCAGCGGCTCCTAGGCGGGGGGTGGCAGGGGGTCTCCGCTCACCGCTGCCCGCAGGCGCCACCCCCCGCAGCTCTCATTGGCTGCAGTTCCCGGCCAATGGGAGCTGCAGAGTCGGCGCTCGAGGTGGGGGCAGAGCACAGAGACACCCCACCCCCAGGGGCTGCAGGGACATGCCAGCTGCTTTCAGGAGTGGCGCGGCGTGGAGGGAGGGAAGCAGAACAGGCAGGGAGCTGCCTTAGCCCAGCTGCTGGCATGCCTTTGCGCGCCCCTTGGGAGGATGGGGGCAGTGGGTCTCTGTGTGCCGCCCGGGGCAGGGACAGCACATGAAGCCTCCTACCCCTCGCCAGGGGCACACGGAGATGTGCCAGCAGTCAGCCGCTTCCAGGAGCAGCGTGGGCCCACTGGCCACTGCATGCAAGCAGCCTGCCTGCCTGAGCCCTGCTGCACCGTCGGCCAGGACTTGGGAGCAGGTTATCAGATGAGATTTGTCCTGCATTTTGGGGACCCCCTGTCATTGGGGGCCCCATGCCACCACACAGTTTGTTTCATGGTGGCATCCTACCGCTCCTACCTTGGGGCAGGCAGTACTCCTCCCGCAAACACGAAACAAATTCACAACACAAAACAAAGAGGAATGCCTTTTCTTACCCCCTCTCTGGGGGTGGGTGGCCTTGTTGTTGGCCCTGGGGTGCCAGGCTATCACCTAAACAGGCAGTCAGTTAAGTAGCTTCCCATGCAGGGAGGAGAGCAGTCTCCCCCCTGCACAAACCTTTCTCCCTGCTGCCACTAGCTCTGCAGCGGCTTGTCTCTCACCATAGGAAGGGTTTTTAAGGTCTAAGGCAGCCCTTAACTGACTCAGGTGTCCTTCACTGACCTGAGGTCACCCCTTTTCAGCTTTTACTGGGAAAAAGGCCTTTATTATTCTATGGCTGCCTTCTACCACTCTCCTCCAGCTTCGCAGCCTGACTTTGTCACAATGCCTATGATTTAGGAGCCTTACTAGAGCTCCTCTTAAATTTATTGTTTCGGAACAAACTTTAGGCACTTGTGTTTGATAATCTTGCTTATAATCTTTCCATCTAATTTAAATTACAATTGTTCAAATACAAACAGGTTTTAAATTTGTCAATGTGTCGTATCAAGTGCTACATATTCAGTGAGGATCGTACGTATTTGGAGAAGAAACTTCAAATTCAAGCGTTATTGCTCTTTACTGACATAATGAGAATGCAGAGGTGTCCCGCCTGTGGCTCTTGAGGTTCTAAATTGTGAATCTTGAGGGTGACAGCATCAAAGCATTGGCTTTGGATTATGAATTGAAAATGGGCTTTCAGAGCTGCACTCTGTGACTTGTATACTGAAGAGTTTGAATCAGCCCTGTCACTACGGTAGGTGGTCAGTTGCTTCCCATGCAACCTCAGGAGCAGCTCTGTTCCTGCTCAACAGTTCTCCTGCTGGATGCCTACTGTGGGTGGGATGCCTACTGTTGGTGGGAAGAGAGTATCTGTGTCAACTCCATTGTCTGCTCTCCTGCCAGGCTGTGGGAGCTCCAGAGACAGCAGGAGAGGAGTGAGCCCCTAACAAAGGATTGCTCCTTTTCTTACACAGCCACCCAGAGAGGATGTTGAAAACCACCTGGCAATGGTCACCTGGGATAGCAAGGGAACAAAATGCTCCAGCTGTCCCCCCACCCCCCCACATGCTCTTCTTACTCCAAAGACTGCCAAGGTGTGGGTGGTGTAAGGGCCAGCTATGCTTGCTGTGCACCACTTGAGGATTCCCCTTATGCTATGGGAATCAGCAGCTGGACACCTCAACTCCAAATCTCCTCCATGCCACCAGAGCAATCCAAAGCAGAGTGGATGGGGAAGAGGATCTAGTTCTAAAGAAAAATCTAGCTCAGAGAAACAGCAGCAATTGCAGAAAAAGCAGCTTTGCTATGAAAGGTCTGGTTCACTTATTGTGATAAAATATGACCATTGTTTTTTCCAGCCTTGATACAAGCCTTTCATGGTCAGCAGGTATTGAAAAGAATTGTGCGCACATGTGCACTGGCTTTTGCCCTACACACAAACTACCCCTTTTAGGATTAAAAAAAAGATGCTACTGAAATAGCAAACAGCATTTAAGAACTTTCACCCAGAATTGGAGAAATTCCTCTTTCAGGATCTTTGAAAACCCAGTACCATGCATGTTACACATTAGTAACGTTATCTATGGCTTTGATTTCTCTCTGTTTCTACACCTGTATTCACCACCCCATTTACCATCTTAGTGCTCTGTTTTAGTCTTCACACCCACAAGCTGCATTTTTCCCCAGCAGTTCCACTTTTCTCTCCACTCAGACATGTTTGTAAATATAATGTAATTTATTCTCAATGAAATCAAATCATCTTCCGAACCTTGCATTCCCCCCAAAAAGTAGTTTCAAGTACAACCTTAGAAGCAGCTGTAGAAACCAAAGACATAAACATCTGCTATTGCTTGGACCACTTTAACAGCTTCATGTATCATGGTAGATAAAGGGGAATTTGATCATCATTGTGAGCTACCAGAACTGCCTCCTTATAGCGTTGATCCCACTTGGAGTCACAAAGGCATCTACTGCTATAAACTTTTCTACATAGGCCTCACCCTTATTTTTTCTGCTTTGTGTTGAACACCTTCAAGAACTGGAGTATAGAAAAAGAACAATGGTAGACAGCATATAGAATACCCAGAGAGAAATCCCAGGGTGAGCTGCCTATATACTGTATCCCAATAAAATGACTACTAGGAATAGCTTCAGCTAAACACTTCTTGAGCTTCATCACAATATAAATTCACTCCAAAGAGAAAAAATATAGAACATGTCAAATAAGTAATAAATAGAACCTTAATTCCAACTCATCATAGTACTATAAAGAAAAAAAAGTGTTATTTGAACTTGGGTTCACAGAAAGCAAGAGCCTCCCCATCCCCCGAACATTTTGTTCCGGCTGAGAAGGGAAAGGTTTTTTTACTTCCCCACCCCTTGTTCCTTTAGGTCACCTTCAGGAATGGGGTGATGGCAGGGGCTCTCAGCTTTTATAAAAACGTTTGTCAGTATAAGTGTTTTCCTAGCAGCCAAATGCGCTCTTGACAACATCTGATTTTAGCTTTGCAACTTTAATTATTTTTGTAGACATTCTTTTAATTAAGATTTCTATTATTTTATGTATAGTAGTATTAATGAATAAGGTTCTGATCCTGCAAGCTCCTATGCGGAGATGGACTCTGGTGATGCTCCCCATCCATAGACTCATGAGGCTCTGTTCAGGTCAAACCTCTTACTGCTTTTGTTCATGGGCATGGTAAGGGGAAATGCCACAGGCAGGGAGGAAACCCTTCTGGCAGCAACATGGGATTTTGGGAGCTGGGTCCTAGGTGGATTGCACAGAGGAAAACAAAGGCATGTACATCTTAGATGGTATCCTTGAGGTGGGAAGGAGAAAGGATGAAACAGTGTCCAGGTTTAGAATACATCTAAGACAGCAGGACCAACACATGCTAAAAGGGTAAGGTGTCTCAGGAAAAAAATGCTAACCTGCTACAAGCTCATTAGTTTCAATTCAGAATATAAAAGAGGTTGTGCCACTGTCTTTCTGAGGGGGAAGAGGGAATGATGATAGAGATAGAAGGATCTTGTAAGGTGAAACACTAGGAACAAGTCATGGTCAGGAGAAAACTTAAACAGATGTTTATTTGTTTTTTAGTAAAATTAACAATAAAGGTAAACCCCAGAGGCGTGTGTGGGGGACTCTGCCAACTCATCTTTTTTTCCCAGTTCTGCCTTGAGAAAGCTGTGTCATATATTCTGTTATTCCCAAAAATGAAACTGATTTAAAGATTTCAATCAAAACAGAGGCCTGATCTGTCATTACTTAGAACCTTGCTGATCCATCTTCAGCTGACTCACTTAATTTTGTCTCATATTAAATTAGGTAACAATAAAAATCCATTTCAATATTTAATCATTGTGAAAGTGACACCTCTTGACCTTAAAATCCCCAATATTACAGTATATTGCCTTACCTTATAAAACTAGATTACAGCCTTACTTGCTCTAATAGAAAAGAGAAATTCATGACATAATCAAAACTGATTATATCCCAATGTCTTATAAGAAAAACATCATGAAATGGCTAAAGGAAATTAATTTTGAAGTTTATTAATTTAGTTTAAGACAGGCTAAAAGCAGAAAAACAGATAATTAGATTTTAGAATTACTGATGCTATCAAGTGAGGTACTTTGTTACTCCAAATTAAATCCTGTGAACATATGGTTACCATTGTAAATAAATCTTTTCCCATGAGGGTCAGGGTTCCAGTACAATTTCCTTGCTAGCAACAGCCATGCCTAAACATAGAATCATAGAATATCAGGGTTGGAAGGGACCCCAGAAGGTCATCTAGTCCAACATGTAAGGAAGATCAGAATTTAACCCCTTTATCACTGGTGCTGCTACCCTGAAAACATAGAACTAATCAGTTCTTATTAGGTATGGGTCTCCAGGGTGGCTAAGGAAATACCTGGAGGACGTGGATACAGCCTTCTGATAAATAAATGATTGACACTAGCGGTATTCTTTGTCATATATATATATATATATATATAACAATATAACAAATCCATTATTGCAAATTAAAGAGCACCTCACACTGCAATAACATACAGTTGAGATGACCCTAGGTGGCTGTGCCCTGTTACAGATGGCCAGTTTTTCACAGGTTGCTGACAGCAGTTTTTAATGTACCTTAAGTCTTAGGTATATAAATTCCTCCTACAATAAACACACATTCCCACATCTTTATTAACCCTCCCCACCCACTATACTATACAATAACACGATACTATTCTATAACTATAACTGACAAGTTTACCCTGTCTGCTGACTTCACTACGCTGTCTCTCCTCCCTCTGCTCCAGTGGCAGGATTCCACTGCTGCTGCTTACCTACTTGTCTGTCAGCTCTCCGGTCTCTGCTTCTTCAGCTCTTACTCTCTCAACTTCCCACTGACACACTAACCTTTAGACCATCTTGGCAGAACTGTCCAGAGACACTTCTACTAATATCTTTCTGTCCGATCTTTTTTTTGGATTCAGGCCAACTGGTAACATTCCTTGGATGCATGCCAACACATTCCAAATGGTCAGTTCTATTTTTAGCCTTGTTTCTAACTGCCACCCTTATTTTCCTCAGTGTTATGAGCTACTGTTACCATCCTTTTCCCCACCAATTCAGTTCTTCTGAATGCTATGTGACCTGCAATGCTACGTGACCTGTAGCTTCCATCTAATGGTGGAGCGACTCTTGCTTATTTAAAATGGAAGCCAGGGGAACAAAATGGAGTTTCTCTGGTATCCGTGCAGGATTTATACACCTTGTCACAAGCCCCAAAGCATGGACCAGGATCCTGTTATGCTGGATGGTGTAGAAATACGGAACAAAAAGATGCTCCCTGCTCCAAAGTGTTTTACAATCCAAGTATAGGATCAGAGACAGCAGATAGACTGACAGGAAAGTACAGGGAAACAATGAGACAGTATTAGTCAGCATGATAGGCAGCAGTCTTAACACACCAATAGCCTAACCCTCGTCAAGTTTTCAAATCACAGCAAAGGAGAATTTTAAGGAGCGATTTGAATGAGGATGAGGTATCTTAGTGGATATTTAAAAGGAGCTCCTCTCTGTAAACCCTGAGGGGAAGCAGGGGAGAAAGCATGGAGGTGCTTGTTTGAAAATTTAACCGGTGGGCAATGAACAATGAGATCATGGGCTGAGTGGAGGTGGGAGCCAGCATCTCAATAACGAATGAGAAATGATAGGTTGGGGTTATATTGTGAAGGGCCTTGAAAGTGAAGACAAGCACCTAATATGTTTGATGCAATAGAGAAGGAGCCAGTGAAGGGATTCAAAGAGAGGGGTGACATGATCAAAGCAATGGGCTAGGAAAATGATCTTAGCAGCAGCAATAAATGGATGGATATGAGCAAGGTGAGATTGTGTTTGTCAAGGCCAGAGAGAAGATGTTGAGGACAGCCTGAATGAGACCTTAGCAGAATGGATGGATTGGAAAGGCCATGTGCAGAAACAATGGGCAAGATTTAGACATAGCCTTGATGGGAGGACCTACAGAGTGGTCCTAATTGAAGATGACACCCAGGTTATGAGTGTGCCAAGGAAGATGGTGGTGTTGTCCACAGTGATCAAGAAAGGAGGTGTCAGGGAGGGTATGGGGGCAGGGGAATATTAAGAGCTCTGTTTTAGCCATGTTGATCTTGAGTTGGTGTCTAGACATCCACAAGGAGCTGTTACAGAGACAGGCTGAGATTTTCGCTTGGACAGAAGGAGACAGGTCTGGAGTAGAGAAATCTGTGAATCATCAGCACAGAGCTGATGGTTGAATTTTTGTTTGTGGATGGGATTGTCTAGAGATAAGGTATATACAGAGAGAAGGGGACCAAGAACAGAGCTCTGTGGATTAAAGTCATGACCCATGTTGCTATAGATAGGATGAAGGAGGGCTCTGCTGTAAGAAGGAATCCCAAGGATACATTCTGGTTCCTGGGAATTGCATGCTGCACTCTGGCACTCAGTAAAAGGTGCAGCATGCTCTCCCCTCTTTATCAGCTCTCCTGGCCAATGGAGTGGGATGTACTTGGAACGTCACAGTCCCATTCTCACTGTAACCTGTAGGGAAGGTAAGCGCTACAGGCAGCCCTAGTCTTGCACAGGCCTGTATTCACACATGAAAAAGAGGGAAGGTCCCAGGACTACATCTCCCTTCAGCTCACAGGGCCAGCCACAGTATGCCCCTGTACGCATACAATGCTGACATACTCTAGAGGGAAGTAACCAACCAGATGATAGCACAGCAGTGGTAAGGAGAGGATTTGGACGAAGGACACGAGGGCAAATCCTTATAATTATGAAGAGTGTTCCAGGATCTTTCTTGTCTATACAAAGCATACATATCCTGGGATCGAGGATATGGTTTTTGGGAATAGAACCACTGGCTTTTCCATGGGGATGGGAGGGAAACCCCATAGGTATACTCTGAAAAAGCATCATTGTGGACTTTTTTTCAGTTTCACCCTGCAGAGTAAGCTGCATGGGTATTTCTAAGGAATTTGAGCTGTCATTTCTGTATCATTTCTACTTTTTGATAGGATGACTTTTACAACTCAGATGGGGAATCAAGGTGATTTCAAGATGGTCAAGTGGAAAATTCCATCTTGAACTTTCATATGTTTGTGCAGTTTCATGATTGGCCACAAGACCTGTGTTTTCTTTGGTGCTAGCAAAAAATCTACATGTATGTAAACTCAGAAAAAATGCATGAAAAAGAACTCAAAGACTGCCCAAGCAAGTTGATAATATTTAGTCAATTTAATGTTTGCAAATATATCTCTTTCCTATAGTTCTGATTTTTATTATCCCCACCAAGGAGAGCCTGGATGGACTTGCAGCTAAGACACTGGCTTGAGACCTAAGAAATCAGGATTCAGTTCTCAGCACTTCCACAGAGTTGCTGTGTGAATGAAGGCAGTTCACATTTAACAGATAGTATGCTGAGGTACAGACAAATTAAGTGTATACTACTTCCTTTGTCATATATTTAGACTTTAAGCTCTTTTGGGCAAGGACAGTCTCTGATTATAGGTACGTCTACACTTCAGTCGAAAGTGTGACTTGCAGCATGTGGAGGCATACACGAATTAGCTTTGATCTAGCTAGCTCACTAAAAATAGAAGTGAAGCAGCAGCAGCATGGGCTAGCTACCTGAATATAAGCCCACCCAAGCATTTGGGAACATAGCCTATGCTGCTGACCATGCTGCTGTAGCTTCACCGCTATTTTTAGCAAACTAACTAGATCAAAACTTGCTCCGGTATGCCTCTGTGTACTGCAATCACACCTCCTGCTTAGTGTGTAGACGACCCAAAGTGTTCGTACAGTATCTAGCACAGTGGGGCCCTGATCTTAACTGGAGCTTGATGCCAATACAATACATGTAATATGCATTTAGAACTTTACCAGTACTTCAGTGTTTCAATCTTTGTTGAATGAAATCTAACCATAAGGAAATGGTCACACTAGAAGGGCTAATCAATAACATAAAACACTTGGTAATCCATCTAGTATACATTGAGCTACAATAGATTTCAACAAGGAGAAATCTATTCACATATTCAGGGTGATAACAAAAACTTCTGTTCATATTTCACAAGTGCTGGCTAATAGTTTGGCCATGCTGTTTTCTTCAGGGTAGAATTACACACAAACACCATTACTAATCAAATGTACTATCCATTGCAGCCACTCAAATGATTTTATTTGATGGCTCCCTGTTTTAAGAGGCTCTGATATCCGTTACCTCGTCACAATTACATTACCTACACTGGCATGAACCACTTGACGGCTGCTGAATGTTTCAGGTACATCTAGGCTGAACACAGCTGCTGTGCTGATTAATGGTCATAGGTAGTTGCTCACATTCCCTTGGATTTCAGTGGAGCATTAATGCACAACAGCTGCTGTGCAGGGGCAGTAGGAAGAGAGCAAACACACACACACCCACTCACTATAACTTAGTTATTGTGACCTTTACTGGAAAAAAGAAAATAAAAAACACAAAACCCTACTAGAATAGCAGGGATTTTGTACGATATTCTGGATTATAATCAAAGTGATTTTGGCAGCATGGTCCAGTAACATAGGATTATTTACAGTATATAAAAAGCATTTAATGTAGTTATCAAGAAATTGAAGTGAAAGTGTAAGGAAAAGGGAAAGTTATTTGCTTACTTGTGCTTGGTAGCAACATTTGCTTCATGATGGCGTCTCTATTGCACAATGCTGCCCTGCAGGCATCTGAATAGATTAAATATCATCTGGCTGCTCATGAAATAACAAATCAGAATATCTATCAACCTGATTACAGTACTGCCACTTCTATGTGTTCAAAAATCACAAGTCAGTGCCCAAAAAGCTGTGAGATTGAGCTTTTTTCTTTGCCTTCTGGTTTTTTATTCCAAAAGTGACACCGGGGTCATCTTTTCAAGTTTCCCTATGAAACCAAAAGGGCTAGAAACGTCTTTTTAAATGAAAACTGATATTCTCACATAATATCTTGACTCCAGGTTAAGAAAAACACCATATATCACAAAACTCACAGTAAAAGTTGGCAACACATTGCCTAATCTGATTAGGCAAATTAGATATGCTTGTGGAAGTGTATTTGGCGTAAGCTGGTACACTTATAGTATTTTTCCCCTAAGAAAGGTGTTCTGTCTTTCCATACACAGAGACCAGCCATGTACTTTCAAACTGAATGATTCAAATGATGACCATGGATGAGATTACAGCCTAGGGTGATATAGCTGAAAAAAATGTCATGAGTTTCTTCCATGGTAAAAAAATTTATTTCAATGGCAAACCATGCCATATATAGTAGATTGTAGAGCCATGTAACATTATGGGATCCAATAAAATAAAGGGATTGTGCATAACAGAATATTCAAGAAGTAGACTAAGAACATGTAAACTGATTTGCTGTAAATCTTTTCTCAGAAATGAAGTCAGTGGATAAGATGATCATACTAGCAAGTGCCCATGCTATCTGTGAATTGGCAGATCCTCTGATTTACCAATTACTCAAATTATATTGGGGTGGCTGATCATGGCCAATCATATCTTCTGCAGTAACTTCAGCTATTCCCTGGCACTGATGCTAGCATACAGCGGTTCAAGGCCCACATACTAAACTGTATAGCAGTAGCTCTAGTTCTTTGTTGTCTTGGCTTTCATTAAAGGAATCAGTTTAGTAACATGTGACTAGAAAGCACAGCTGCTGCTATAGTGTGTATACTGAACTAATGAAGCCTCACAGAGGTTTCATTTCCATCCAATCACACTTATAGTCTGGTAGCTATTTGTTGTCCGTACTAATTTCCATATTGAACATCCTTTCCCAGAGGGGACTTCGCAGAACATTAAAATG